CCTTGCTCTGTAATAATAAGAAATCATTTTAATTGATAAAACAGATAATAAAAAACATTTAAAAAAAAAAGCCCTGTAAATCTTTCATTGTTCAGGAACTCTTTGTTGTAATGCTGCTGTTAGTTGCATGAAGCAAGTAGCATCTACTGTCCTTTTAAGATCCCAGTGGAACATATTTAAGCATGGTGGATGTGGAAGCTGCTATGTGTCTGCTTGCCTTCTGAGTGCATGGAGCTGTAGCAGTGTGGGTCTTACATGCCTGGCCATGAAAAGATTTATTGCATTAACTCTCTTTTAGGAGATCTCTTGTATTTGCCAAAGAAACTTGCCCCTCTGCTGGATTTTATGCATTTGGGCTGTGACTCATGGCAACTGAGGCTGGCACAGTGGCAGACAAAACCCCACACTTCCTTGACTCCTGGCTCTGCATCCCCGTACCTGCCAATGATGTGATGTCTCGCATGTCAGGCTAGAGTAGGTAGAGAAGTTCCTAGTAACTGCAGAATATTATTGAAGTGGAAATTTCCCCTCTATAATTTTCTTAATGCAAACTGGTATTTCTACCACGTAAGCATGTGTTTCATTAGGTAATAGGTGATGTCAGGGTTTCTTTGGCAGGCAAGCTTTCTGGTAACTAATATATGTGTAAATGTTTCATTTGCTTTAAAGAATATTACTGTGTTCAAGTGGCAGTTGAAAAGGAGGTCTAATGAGAGCATTGAAGAAAGAAGCTTATCCACAGCATTAACATTAGCTGAAACAATGATGTGTTAGTCTTCAGTGGCTTCTATGATGACATATATAGAATGAGGAACTGTGAATTTTTAAGCAGTGAAATCTTTAGTTTTTAATGCTTTGTATATTTGCTTATGTTAGATGCATCTCAAAGTATTTGTTCTCACAGCAGAATAAAACCCAGCTATTTGAGGATAATAGCTGGAAAACCACAGACTTGAAAACAAGTTGCTATGTTGAGGTATAAACAGACACTGAGTAAGACTGAACATAGGAATTGACCCAGCAAACCGAGATGGTAGAAGAGACTTCACTTCTGTGACAGCCCATTCCCAATATGAAATGTGATTAATTTTTAACAAGATATCAAGCATTTGTTTTCTGTCTGTAATCTCCAGAAGCTGAATACTCTAAACCTATCAAAATACTGCATCTATTAGAACTTGCAAGATTAGATACTGGAACCAAGTGAACTAAAGACCGGGCGTACACAAAGTATTCAAACACTTATTCAGGGCTGCATGACTTTTTTAAAGATTTGGAAGGAGCGGGTTCTTAAATGTGTTGCTTACACTGAAACTGGCAAACCAAGATTGCTCTCAAAACTTTTTTTTTAAACTTGCCTCCTGTTCATAGGTCTCCACTGCAGGTCGTATTTCGTTATGTAGCATTCGTTTATTTTCACAGGTTGTGCTGGTGTTCTAATATGAGAATTTTCTAATATGTTCTAATATGAGAATACAAGAATTTTCCACATTTAATTATAGTCATCAGAGGTTATCTCAGCCTTTTAGCTGCTTTCAGGAAACCAAGATGGATTGTGGTTACTTGACTTTTTTTTTTTCCCCCACCTCCTTGACCCTGAGCCCACAGAAATGCATGAGGACTCAATTGCTCTCTACTTCATCAGCAGTTTGAACTTTTAGTGGCATCTTGCTGTAAAGCCAGTCATATACTGACAAGGTGTTACAATTACCAGCCCTGCTGGAGATACAGAAATATGTCCTCAGCATCAAAAGATTGTTTTCTTAAATGATAATTAGTGTCTCCATGGGTGAATTGTTTCATAATTTAACACAGTATGAATTTTTTTTTCTCTATATAAACAAGATGAGGCACTGTGACCACGAGGACCTCTGCCATTTCTAATTAGTTAAGGCATCAGTATTAATTCTAAAGTACCTAATTATGCTTAGGAAAGTAAATTAAGCCAAAAAAATATATGCAGGTAAAAAAGCCCATTCACATTTTATTTTTCTAACACTTTGCTTCATACAGTAATGTTCAGTAATGCACTGTGCTTAAAGACTCTTCCCACAATTTCTGTTATATAAATGAGGCCACATTTTCGTCTTAGTTATATTTGTACCTGTCCACTTGATTTAGAAACTGGATCCAAGTTATTTTAGGGCATTGAATTGTCATTCAAAATAAGAATTTTTTAAAAACAATGTGAATTGCAAGAGAAGTAGACCTTATTTAGTTTCTAAATGTCTTAAATTTTAGGATGCCAAAAAGTTCGATATATGTGCTAACTTTGAGGGCGCTCATCAAACTAAGGCAGCGGCAAAATGAACAACAAATGAAGTGCTAAGCACCTCTTGCTATTTCTGGCTAGTGTAGCGTAGGGAACTGTTATTTCACTGAAAGGAGGCATGGGGTACAAAAGCTCGCAGTACTGCTGCTGGCCATTCCCTCATGTTACCTAGTGTTGTATTCATCAGAATCAGCACTGGACTGTAGTTATGCCAGCAACTTGCTCATCCCTGACACCTTAATTTTCTTCCTTTTGAAAACTTGCCAGGTGAGAACCAAGATAAATGTTTTGTATGTTTCAAGTATAAAACTTGGAGAGTTTTTTTTTCTTTCTGTGAAGTTAAACACATTTGTTATTAAGTCCTAAATACCATCCCTGGGTATTTCTGCCCTGCCATCTAATTCAAGAGAAAATAATAGAAAGTAAATTACTTTGTAATGCTTACCTGTCTCCAGATGGGACAGAAGCGTGGGCCTTACCTGCATCTCAGTAACTCATGAGAAATGCTCATAAAAATGCTGAATTAAAAAAAAAAATCACTTAGAAGCTACAGTGCAATGTGGTATGGGTTTTCTTACTTTTTACTGTGGCTTTTTAAAAAATATCTGGTAAATGCTTGATGACAGTATTTTTCATAATCAAGATACCCATTGCTTAGTGCCAATGAAAATTATATTCAGAATATTTAGACATCTACATAAAATATTGATCTACCTATGTATTACATTAAGCTGATCTTGTGAACTAGCTATATGAATTTGAAAGTTTAATTTCATTTGTTGCCACTCAAATGTAGTTTTTAAATATCTGACTTTGCACTGCTACAGCAGATGGCAGGGATACCACTGTCATTTGCCAAGCAACTAAAAAAGTGTGACCTGCTTACCTCAGGAAAGAATTTGTGAAGAGCATGGTAAAACACAGGGATCCTGCCGCTGAAGAAGGTATTGCACAGATCTGTTAACAGTATTGCTGTTGCTGAATGAACTTCCTGCCATCACCCCAGCTCGAGACCTCTCTCCTAATTAAAATACATCGTAGAAAATTAAGGTTGACTCTGCTTTTGCCCAGAGGTACGGTAGGTCTAGATCTAGCAGCGCATAAAGGTGGAAGCCACTTCGAGCCTTTGACAACAAAGATAGGTGGATGGGTCTCCTATCTGGTCTCCTATTGCCCAAGGTAGCTTCCTGCTTGATTGCCCATTTAATACCTTCTGATTTGCATAACTAACAACAAAAAAATACTTACAGTGTACGGCTAATGAGTGTAGCAGCTGCTCCAGCAGGTGGAAAATACTGGAGGCCGTAGCGCTACTCTTCTCTTGGAATCTGATCGTCAGAAAAATCCCCATTTTTGATTAATTAAAGATTGGTCAAACTTCAGATGAAGCTAAGCAGGAATCATACTAGCACAATTGTTTTTAAGCTTACCTATGTAAGAGTAAGTTTGCAGAAGTAGAGAGTAGAGTTTTGGGAGAGAGAGGTGAAGGGAAAACAGTGGGATTTCATTCCGGGAGGCTTTCTGTAAATCTGAAAAAGCCCCACCTGTGACTGCAGAAGTAACAACAGTGGAACAACAGTGGTGTGGGGTGGGGTGGTGTTCCCTGCTCACTGAAAGGGGTGGAACATGGATACTTCATTTCAGCATTGTTCGTGGGTGAATCTGAACATAAACCACTATGATTTTACAATGTATACAATAAGTAA